ACCGTGTGTGGTACTGACAGGGTCTGAGCAGCACGATGTGGTACCAACCAGGACTTTGCAGCACTGCACATGGTGCCGGCCGGATCTGTGCAGCGCCGTGCACAGCCCTGGCCTCCTGCCCCCGCCATCCTCCCGGTGCTGCTCCCCCAGGCCTTGGGCAACCCTTGGCACCACCGTCCTTTCCTTGCCCGTTCCTCCATTCCTAAATCATCCTCTGTGTTTCTGGCCTCCATAACCTCACTAAATATTTCCTACTTCACTCCTTCCCTTCATCTTCCTCAACCGTGTCAGTCTGCTGGGGGTTTGGGGCCTGCAGGGGCATTTTCAGCCAGGCAGCACCAGGCGGCGACGGCTCCGCTGGTGCCGCAGGAAAGGCCCCGCGTGGGGCTCGGGCGGCAGCGCGCGCCCCGGGGGAGGCGCCGGACACGCGGGGGCGCGGGGGAGGCTGGGGAGGAGGGCGGGGCAGTGCGCGGAGCGGCCGGGCCGGGCCGGGGCACCCGCCGGTCACGCCGCCACCGGCCCGCGGCCACGCGAGCCCCGGGGGGGGGACCCGCTGCCCGGGGGGAGGGAGCGGGTCGGGCCGGGTCMGGGGTCGGACCGTCCCCCCGGCGCCTGCCAGGGGGAGGGGAGGCGCTGCCGCTGCCCCGCCCTGCCGGTGCGTCGCATCATCCCATTGGTCCAGCGTCGCGTGACGCGCGTGGCGGCGGCCAACGGRCAGCTGCCACACGGCAGATCCGGCAGGGGGCGGGACTTCCGGGCGCGCGAGTCCCCGGCGCCCGCAGAGCCGCCGCCGCCGAGGAGGGAGCGCCGCCATGTCCGCGCGCCGGGCCCGGCCGTTGCTGCTGCTCCCGCTGCTGCTGCTGCTGGCGGCGCGGCCCGCGCGCGCCTCCGACGTCGTGGAGCTCAGCGACGCCGACTTCGAGAGCGGCCTGGCCGAGCGCCCGGGGCTCGTGCTCGTCGAGTTCTTCGCGCCATGGTGAGGGCGGGTCGGTTCGGTCCGCCCCGGTCCGGTCCGCCCCGCGCGGCGCGCTCACGCTCCCTCTCCCCGCAGGTGCGGGCACTGCAAGCGGCTGGCGCCCGAGTACGAGTCGGCGGCGACGCGGCTGAAGGGGATCGTGCCGCTCGTGAAGGTGAGGCCGGCGGGCCGCGCGCTGCGGCGGCCGCTGCCGCGCGCGCCCCGGGCGGGCGTTGGCGCCGGGCGGAGCCGCCGGGCCCCCCCGAACGGGGTCATCCCGCTCGTCCCAGTTACTGCGGGAGCCCTGGGACTGCTGTGGGCCTGAGAACAGTTAGTTCCAATAAAGCATCTCGCTGAGGAAGAAAAATGGCTTTCTTGCCGTCTTGCTTAGCCTGGTCATGCAAGACACCGTGATTTTCCACTATTTCCTTAAAAAAAAAAAAGGCACTGTTGCTGCATCCTGCCTTCCTCCCTCCCCTGCAGTGTAGCAGGTCTGTCCTGGGCCCCCCGATGGGGTGTTGTGCCCTGGAAGGTGCTTGATCTTCCACACGTGGCCCTCGGGTCGTTTTTGTATCCTTGTGCTTTCTGGAAAACAAGCCAATCCTGCTCAAAGACGTTTGCCAACTTTGAAGGCCTTTAGCCTTTATTTCTGCGTAGCGCAGTAATGGCAACGTGGGCAGGCAGCAAAAGCTGTCGTTCACGTGTGCGCACAGTTGAGGACGCCGAGCAGCAGTGTTTCTCCTCTTTCAGGTTGACTGTACAGCCAACTCCAACACCTGTAACAAGTATGGAGTGAGTGGCTATCCCACTCTGAAGATTTTTCGAGATGGTGAAGAGGCAGGAACCTACGATGGGCCCAGAACAGCAGGTAGAAACCTGTCAATCTCTGTGCAGCCAGCAATAGTGCTGTGAGGTCTGGGTTCTATACAGCAGTTGTGATGTTAAATGCGCTGYGGGATGCAAAGGAGGGAACCCTTCACTCCTCCCCCAGCCCTTTGTTGGGAGAACCCTGGATACTTCTTGTCCCATAAGAGACAAGACCCTTTAAAGGTTATATTTGAGCCATGGTGTCCTTGATGGGCAGTATCTAAGAAATGGCTGATGGAAAGACCTTGTATAGGTAACCTGTTGGTACGTATACCTTACTAATCTCCAAGTTGCACGAATTAGAGTATCTGTGTGTGTCTGATCAGGCCTCTTGAAAAACATGGCATCTCACAGTGCTATCTTCCCTGGTAGCAAGCCAGGAGCTCTTAATATGAGAATGTTGGAAATATTTATTTATTTATTTGGTRCTTGCAGTCCCCTGAAAAGCTCTCCCTTTTAGATCTCTTGTTCCATGAAGTTGATGCTTATGCTGCTTCAATTCATATAATGTCTTATGTGGGAGGAGGAGTTAAGGATGCTGAAAAATAAGCTTTTGTTTTGAGAAGCTTGAAAAAGTCTCGTGGAACGTTGCATCGATCCCTTTAACGATGAGGAACCTTTTTTGTTAAGATGGGATTGTCAGTCACCTCAAGAAGCAGGCGGGACCCGCTTCAGTGGCGCTCAGCTCCGTGGCTGACTTCGACAAGTTCGTTGGTGATAAGGACGCCTCTGTGGTGGGTGAGTGGAGCGACTCCCTGCAGCACGTGAGTGCTGGCGCCCCGCGCTGYAGGAGCCGTGGGGATGCACGGTGAAAAGAGAAGCACAGTATTGACCGGGGAATTGGAGCTGGATGTGAGCAAAAGAAAAGTTCTCCATAAGAATGACAAAGCACTCACACACATGCCCAGAAGGGGTTGAAACCTTCAGTCTTGGAGGTCTTCACTCAATTTGGCAAAGTGCTGAGCAATCTGATCTTGCTTCAGGGCTGGTCCTGGTTAGAGCAGGAGTTTGGAATTGATGCCAATGTGGATTCCTTCCAACCTAACTTTTTTTTTTTTTTCTTTCTTTCTTTCTTTCCCTCCTCCTGTGGTTCTTTGACTGTCAGACTTCCTGTCACCACAGTGTCCTTTAAAAGTTTGTAGCTGTTTTGGCTGATTGACAACAGATACTTCTGAAATTTGAAGCTATCCAAGGGTGACCTCTCAAGGTTTAGGCTATCAGCAGCGTCATACAATTTGATCATGGTTGAACATGGTAACAGCAGCTCTCTTTTGTGTGAATTAGATGTAATAACAGAAGTGCGACTGCATGGGAGTTGATCAGCATCCTTAAACTTGCTGCATATCCCTGACTGCTGTTGTCACTAGTGGTGTCTCATTTGATTGCCAGTAGAAATCTTTGTGCTTAAAGACAACTACTTCCCATGCTGGGTGGGTGGATGTCAGTTTGGGTCGTTGAGCCGGACAAACCCTTTAGCACTTGCCTGCTGGTAAAGGTAGGGAATATAGACACTAAAAATGGAAGAGAACCTGTCAAAAGAAGAGGGCCTGGGCGTGCATTTGAGGGCTTAATTTAGAAGAGGTGTCCCCATGCATTACAAAGACAGTGGTATGAACTGCACGGTAACTGCTGCTGAGTCAGTTTGGGGTCACCATCTGTCTCTCTGCTGCAGGTTTCTTTGGAGATGCATCTGGTGATGCTTATTCAGAATTCATGAAAGCTGCTAACAACCTAAGAGATAACTATCGCTTTGCACACACCAGTGAGGAAGAACTGGTGCAGAAATACGAGGAAGATGGAGAGTAAGTTGTTCAACATACCTTGTTGTTAAGATGTTCAGAGCAAATTCAGGGATTTCACATAAAGTCTGAAGTGAGTTTACCTTCTGAGCATAGTTTAAGGTATTCCCCATCCACTGGTACTCTGTCTCTTTCTTGCTTATTTGCTTTGTTTGTTCCCAGCACCACTAAATCCCTTCTCTACCTGTGGAAATAAGGTAGARAAACAATGAAACTACCTCTTGTTGAAATTGCTATTGTGGCCTTCAAAATTCTTTTGAGTACCTCTGGTTCAGTCAGTGTTCTTTGTCTGGGCTGTTTCTGGATGGCAGAGTGGTGTCCTCCATTTGGTACAAGCTGCTGCAG